GCCCACCGTGACCTACTTTTGAAATTTTATGGCTATATTTAAATATTTTCAGATACTAATTGGCTTAGAATCATCAAACTTTGTCATTTGATGCATCTTGGGTCCACAAAGTGTGTCAAGTGAAAAATAGGTCACAGTGACTTACTTTTAGCCTTTTATAGCTCTAATTAAATATTTTCAGATACTAACTGGCTTAGAATTATCAAACTTTGACGGTTGATGTTTCTTGGGTCCTCGGAGTTGGTCAACCAAAAAGTAGGTCAGAGTGACCTACTTTTGGTATTTCAGAGCAATACCTAAATATATCAAATAATAAGAGACTTAGAGTCATCAAACATTGTCAGTTGATGCATCTTGGTTCTTGGAGTATGTTTGCCAAAAATGTAGGTCACTGTGACCTACTTTTGGAATTTCATGGCTATATCTGAATTTTTTAGATAAGGCCAAAGTTTTTTTTCTTTTGGTTTACGATTCCTCCAACCAAATTTTCACCAATCATGAAAATAAAAATAATGTCTTTGTCCTGACATCTTTTTCCAGATTTTTCTCAGGTTAACAATGGATTTTAAAATTTAGAATGCATCTAAGTCAAATAAGCGCTTATCATTATATGAAACCTTTACAAACATTTAAATGACCGTAAATAAGCACATGGACGGTTACTGTCAAAAAAACAAGGTAACTCCTCACTGAAAGTATTGGCATACATTTAAAGAACCTTTTCTACATGGAAGTGAATGAAATCTAGGAATTATGATGCTCTTTACCACCATTTCTCTAAATGCAATGTCTCAATTGGCTAGATTTGAACTGGAATATTGGAGAGTGCCCAACCCTGACCTAATGGACACAATGATATTTATTTTGGTGTTGAGAGATGTGTCTTGGTTAAAGTAAAGCTGAAATGAATTTCACTGGATATATATTTAAATAAATATGAACTATTGGTTTGTAAAATTATAGAATTAAATTGATTGATTGATTGTTTGCTGTTTAATGTCCCTCTTGAGAATTCTTCACTCATATGGAGACATCACCACTTGCCGGTGGAGGGCTACAAATTTTGACCTATACTCGGCACTTAGGGCCATTGAGCAGTGAGGGATCTTTTTCGTGCCAGCACCTACTGCAACACTGGACCTCAGCTTACATGGTCTCATCCGAAGGACCGGTCTCCATGTCCCACAGTGGGATTCGAACCTGGGACGTATAAGGATCAACTCCTTACTCCGCGACTCTAGGGCAGACGCTCTAACCACTGTGCCACGCGGGGGATATAGAATTAAATCCAATAGTACAAATCTGTGAGAATTTAATACTCAATCTAGATCAAAGCCTTTTGAAGTGCTTAAGTAAATAATGAACACTACATACTGTGCAGGCACACAACAAAAATTTTAAGAAGGACTTGATCTAGAAATTATTAGGCTTAAGTGATGCAGGTTAAAAAAACTGATCAAATTATAAATACCTTTATTTCAGCAATTACAGGTGACTCTCGATGGCTCGAACTCCGATCTCTCGAAGTTCTCGATCTCTCGAAGTGAACCTCCGGTCCCGTTTTTTCCTCTATATAACTAAGCAAATTTACTTCTGATCTCTCGAACTTCCGATCTCTCGAAGTTCTCTATCTCTCGAACCAAGACCTGGGTCCCGTTATACACATTTCATTGTTTTTTACTCTCTATCTCTCGAAGTTTTGATTGTGCGTGTGTACACGCAAATCAAGCGTAAAATTAATGCAGCTTGGACTTACCTGGATAACAGTGAACGCCTGGGTCTGGCATGGAGGTGTTAATTGGGTGTTTACATAGATGACACTATACCTATGAGCATCCGATTGTTGATATGATTAATTGGTTATAATTTGTAAATTATAAGCGAATTGCTTCACAACTTAATTTGACTTGACAGCGAGACGACAATTTTTAGAAAATAATTTAAAAGACGTGTCAATAATTTTCCAAAGATTATGAAGTTTTATTAGAGTCTACATAATCCCAGTAAGACAAACATTGCACAAGAAATCCTTGCTCAAGAATTGAATACCGATTTAATACGAGAAATCTGGCAAAGGACCCGATCAAGACCGGGGGGAAGCCACACCGATGATTGCTATTCAGGTTTCATGTTATCATGAAATGAGAATAAATAAATATTGAAACTTAAAGAGTTTGTTTTATTTATTCAAAATACGACCGTTGTTGTTGAAATCAAGTGAATTACCTGTAAAATACGAATGAAAATGTGCAATGTCATTATCAACATATACTTCCGGTATTTATAATAGTAGAACAATGAAGATCGGAACTGAAAATTCCGGATTTTATTCACTTTCTATCTCTCGAACCCCTCGATCTCTCGAACCTTTTCTTGCGGTCCCTTGAACTTCAAGAGATCGAGAGTCACCTGTACTTTTAATTGTTAAACAATTATGTATATGTATTTCTTCAGTATAAATTCAATTTTAACTTTGAACCCTTATTTTGTGTTTGTGGGGACATTGAGGTTTGTAACCATCACATATCACTGAAGAGTATACATTCCTGAACCAAGCACTAGTTGACAAGTAAATGTCAGAACTAAATGAAAATGACATTCAGTCTATAAATTAGAAATGCATTAAAATTTAACAAAAAGAGTAAAGTTATCAAGAACAATAAAGCTTATAAATACAATTGGTGTGTATTTTTTTTTTCAAAACAGCATTCCTGCTATTCTAAAACAAAATCAGGTGATTCCTAAATTATTTTTATTTTTCAACCACCCAATGCATATTTTTTAGACAGGAAATCATAAACCAAAAAAAAAATAATAATAATAATAAAAACTGTGGCCTAATAAAGAGCTTCAAATCATCAAAGTTTGTCAGATGGTACTTCTTGGGTTCTCAGATTGTTTTAACCAAAATGTTGGTCACATTGACCTACTTTTGGAATTTCAAGGCTTTCTCTAAATATACAGGATACTTAGAGGCTTCAAATAGAGGTGATAGGTTGTACAATTTATTAATAGAGTGATTCAAGGCCCTTGGGCCTCTTGTTTTCAAATTGTTTTAGAGGCATATTTTAGACACTTTGAAGCCTAGGATCATCAAACTTTGTCAGTTGATGCATCTAAAGTCCTCGGAGTGTGTCAACCATAACCTACTTACTGAATTTTTAAATGCTAATTTTAAATATTTCAGATACTAATTGACTTAGAAACATCAAACTTTGTTAATTGATGCATCTTGGGTCCACAGAGTGTGTCATCCAAAAATAGGTCACCGTGATCTACATTTGGAAAGTCATGGCTATATTTCAATATTTCAGATACTAATTTGGTCAGAATCATCAAACTTTGTCAGTTGATGCATCTTTGAACCTGGGAATGTGTCAGCTAAAAAGAAAGGAACCATGATCTACTTTTGGAATTTCATGACAAAGTTTAAGTATGTCAGACACTGATTTGCTTCGAATCATCAAACTTTTTCAGTTGTTGTATATTGGGTCCTTGGAGTGTTTCAACTGAAAAGTAGGTCACTGTGATCTACCATTGAAATTTCATGGCATATTTTAATATTTCAGTTGCTAATTGGCTTAGAATCATCAAACTTTGTCAGGTGTTAGATCTTGGGTCCTGAGACAAAATACGTCAACTAAAAAATATGTCACCGTGACTTACTTTTGGACTAATAATAATAAGGCAGTACTTGTGATGGGAAATCAGGAAAAAATCATAATCGATTATCAGTAATAATCGGCTGCACATAATTGATTAGTAATCGATTATAATCGGATTTTTAACTTAAATGAAATAAATATAAAGAAAAATTGAACTTATTCAGATTTAAGTTCAGAATTTTACAAAAAAATCATTAATTAATTATATTCAAAAATGTTTATTAATTTTTTTTCTTTTAATAATAAAGTGGAAAATAGGATTTCTTTACTTTTAAAAGAAATATATTGAATGGTAATTTACTTTAAAAAAAATCTAATTAAAAAAAATGAATGGGAATATTACTGATATTAGTCCCATCTTGCATTACATGTATTTATTTCTTGGAATTACAAGTTTAGAAAGTAGTTATCCAGAATTTGGACTTGTACTCCTGATTATAAATACATTTACAGATCGTCTGTACTATTAATGTTTTCCTGTATATTGTAAAACCTCTTAATATTGTCCATTTTTCTGTTATTAATCTCACCCTATATTTGATCATGGCGGTAAAAATATTAACATGGCATGGATACCTTCGATATTTTAAACATTCATCACTACTTTAAAACTCTTTGCACATGGATTTGGTAATGAAATTAAAGTATTACAATATTATTTTTTGTTAGCGATGTTGGCGACATTTATTTTGTAATTGATTAGTAGTATCGAAGAGCTCCTAACGACCGACAATCGATCGTCGATGACAATCAGCCCATCATAGGCAGTACATAAACTTTTCAAATAATATGAGTATAAGAATTATCAATCTTTGTCAGTTGATGCATCTTGGGTCCTTGAAATATTTCTCTCAATAGAGATAGGTTATACATTTTATCAGAAGAGCAATTCTAGGCCCTTGGGCCTGTTGTTTTAAAAAAAACATGATGTTCCATAGTGTTCCATTCTTCTTCATGACATGGTATAAAGCAATGTCAAAATAGTGCAACATCATCTTCAACTATGTTACTTTTACATTTATATAAAACATGAATGAAGCTGTGTACAAACATATATTGACAATGTCATAAAATATACACAGAGGGAACTTTGTGGAATATTTAATTTGGACATGGGGCGAAATTGACACCGGCAAACACACCTTTTGTGTGATTTTGAATAGCAGGGATGAGTCAGGTGACTATTGTGGCCCAAGGTCCTCTTGTTTCATATATACTTCAAATACCATTTTATTCCCTCTGATAAAATTGTAACCTATTATTTATTCCAAATCGTGGTATGTTCTTGGTTTCAATTTTTCCTATAGGCCATTAATTTCAATTTTATTTTTGTAGACAAGAATTCTTGTGACCCATGGATTAGGATTCCTTCCTTATGCAGATCTCATTGTGACAGTAAATGAAGGAGAAGTTTCTGAGGTGGGAACCTTTCATGAGCTAATGAATCGTTCTACAGCATTTTCGGATTTTGTTCATAGTTACCTTTCACAGAAAACTCAGGATGATAAACATGATGTTGCTGAAAGAAACTTAGAAGGTAACTTCTTTCTTTCCTAGTTCATTCAAAAATTTAATCTTTCTTACTTAAAACTTCAACCAGATATGACCCCCAGGTCAGTTTTTAGGTTACCTGAGTTATTAAGGTGACCCATTACTATCTGTTTTTGTCCATGGTAATGCATTGTTGGTCCTGCATTAACATTTGAATATTTTCAGCTTATTCTCTGGAACCCCTAAATCAATTTCAGCAATCTTTGGCATATATCATCTATGGTTGAAGGGGAATCAAAATTCTGATTTTCATTGTCCCTGTCCATTCCAGGCCTAAGGGATGAGGCTGAATCTATCAAAATTGATGCAATTTGTAAAAATCTCCTTTTTTTCCTGGACATCAAGCAGTCAAACTGTTGGCATGATTGTAATGAGCATTAAGTCCTCTACCAAAATTGTGAAATTCATGGCCCCTGGGTCAGGAGTTCTGATGCTAGGTTGGAGATCTATAGATAGTGAAAGTGCTTTATTTCTTTAAAAATCTTCTTCTCTGCTTCAGGGTATTAAGCAAACATACTTATTGCATAGTTTTGATGAGGAAGGCTGACTCTTCTTAAATTTACAATTCATGGCCCCTGGATCAGGGGTTCATGCATTAGGATAGGGCTCTATTGATTATATAGTGAAACTGCATTAGTTCTTTGAAATTTTCCTCTGCTCCTGGGTATTAAGCAAACAAACTTATTGCATAGTTATGGTTCCCAAGGCTGCCTTTTCTTGAATTTACAATTTCTGGCCCCTGGATCATGTTCTGGTGTTTGATGGGGTTCTTTAGATTATGTAGTGAAATTTGCATTAATTCTTTAAAAATCCTCTTTGCTCCTGGCTATTGAGCAGATAAATTTAGTGCCCAGTTACAATGATCAAGGCTGCCTCTTCTTAAATTTTGGATTTTATAGTCCCTTGATCAGGCTTCTGGTATAAGGTCTGGGTCTACTGATTATACAGTGAAATTGCATTAATTCTTTGAAAATATTCTTGCTCCTGGGTATTTTGCAGAAAAACCTAGAGCATTTTTATTATAAGTAAGAATGCTTCTTCCAAAATTATGAAATATATGGCCCCAATGTCAAGGGTTCAGGTGGATGGGTAGGGGGGTGTGGGGTTCCACTGTAGATCATATTGTTAAAATGCACTATAAATTGCTTTGAAAATCTTTGTCTGTGCTCATGGGTGATAAGCAACATACACACTTTGTGATGTGAATAGATATAATTAGCAAGGGTGCCTGTTCTAGAATTGTGAATTTCATGGCCTCTGGGTTCTAGTGCTGGTGTAAGGCCAGGGCTCTATTAATTATAAAGAGAAAATGCATTTATTCTTTGAAAAGCTTCTTCTTTGCTCCTGGATATTTAGCAGATAAACATAGAGTGCATAGCATAGTTATAATGAGTAAATTGTTTCTTCCAAAATTATGAAATTTGTGGCCCCAGGGTAAAGGTTGCTGGTGGAATGGGGGAGGGGCTCTATAGATCATGAAATATATGGAGATAACGAACAGTATTCAAGCCCAAAAGTCCATTAAACATTACAAAATAGGAGCAGAGCAAACAGGGACCTCTAAAACATCAGAGGTGGGACCAGGCGCCATGGAGGAGTGAGCATCCCCTGCCGACCAGTCACACCCGCCGCACGCTCCCTGCCACGATCTGGAAAAATCCGTCGACAACCCAGTGCGCAAACAATGGCCCAACAACCAGCATGAAAAACATCAGTCAGCATTTGACTCAATGATAAATCGTATTTGCTGACAAGGTCATTGTATCGACCATAGAACTTACGAAATGATGACTTTAAATGAGACTGCTGATATTCTTGTTTCATCAACTTGTTTGTCAATAATTTATGTCATTTTAGAAATTGTTCATACATAGAGCATGCTCTTGCGTATCGAATCAACTGAGAGATATAGTGAAAAAGATGATATAGTGAAAATGCATTATTTCTTAAAAATCTTCTTCTATACTATTGGGTATTGAGCAAACAAATAAAGTGAATAGTTATGATGAGCTAGGGTGCCTCTTCTAAAATTTCGAATTCCTTAGCATCTTGACCAGGGGTTCTGGTGTTAGTGAGGCAGTTGATTATTTAGTGAAAATGCATCAATTCTTTTTCAAAAAAACTTCTTTGCTCTTTGATATTTACCAGATAAACTAAGTGCAAAATTATGAAGAGCATTAGGGTGCTTCTTCTAAAATGAAATTTGTGGCCCCAGGATTGGGGGTTCAGGTGTTTGGGGGGGGGGGGGGGGGTTGTGTTGTAGCTCTGTTGATTATAAAGTGAAAATGCGTTAGTTCTTTGAAAATTTCTCTGCTCCTGGGCAATTAATATAATAATTAATGTATAAAATTCTTCTCAAAAACAGCAAAATCATGGTTATATTTATATGGAAACATCCTTAGATAGTGCTGATTCAGTTTTGTTCAAAGTATAAATCCCCCCCCCCCCCCCGGGAGTAGGGTGGGCCACTATGGACAATCAAATTTTTATTAGGAATACATAGGAAAAATCTTGAAAATTCTTCTTATCATAAACAGCAACGTCACGATTAGTGATACTTGTTTGGGAGCATCCTTAAGTAGTGTATTTTCAGTTTTCTTCAAAACATGACCCCCCCCCCCCCCCAAAGGGTAGGTAGGGGTCAATATGAAAAATCAAAGTATTACATAGGAATACATAGGAAAAATCTTCTTCTCAAGAACAGCAAAGTCATGATTTGTCATATTTGTATGAAAGCATCCTCAGGAAGTGTAGATGGGTGAATTAAAAAAAAAAATGACCAAATGCATATTTATCAACCCACACTAAAAATACAGGCAATGAAAACAGATAAAATTTCTATGTCTCAGTATATGTCTTTAGATAGTGTCTAAATACCTGCCAAATATCTCATTGATATCTCAATTAACAAAAAAGTTATACCCAAAAATGATGCTAAAATTGTCAGGAGTGCAACACCTTTTTCTGACATTTTGAAATTTCAATATTTTTTGGAGATCTATGAAATAAAAAAATAATGCTTCATGTTGAAAATAAAGACTTTCCTGATAATATTCAAAGTATTGAGCTTTATATGTGGACTGTCATAACTTTTGTTTAATCAGGTTGTAGTCATGGCTGATGTTTAAAGAAATGTTATACCATGTCAGGAGTGCAACAGAAAAAATGTAGTGTTGCCAAAAAAACATCAATTGTAAAATTCTGATAGAAAATTAAGACAAAAAAAGAATTTTGGAAGTGTAAAATAATAACTGATATACATTTTAAAACTTAAAAATGTTATATAAATCACAAGCAGCATTAATGAGAGTCAAGTATATGTGCATACCCAAAAATGTCAGGAGTGCAACATTTGATGTTTTGCTCCCAAGCATGAAAAAACTGTTATCATTATATGATTTTCTGATTTTTATTTTGGAAAATAAAGACACAAAGAACATTTTTACCAAATAGATTTATCAATTACAGGATCTGTCTGTGCTTCAGATCCATATTTCTATGGTCAGGAGTGCAACACATTTTTTTTAAAGATTCAAATTGTGTGACGAAAAGACTTCTATTCATGCTTAGAAGTATTCATTAATTAATAATGATTTTTTTGTATAATTTAATGCTAAATTATTGACAGTTTTATTATTAAAATCCTTCCTTTTTCAATTTTATCAATTCAGATGTGTTTTTATCTATTTTGTGATTTTTGTTAATGAACGTTAAAAATAAACACACTAAAACATTGTCATAAAATTCAAGTAATTCCTCCTCAACTTCACTGAAACAACAGAACAAGTTCTTATGTAATTTTCACTTCACAATTCTACTTTAAAGGCCCCGATGCTTTTTGGTCAGGAGTGCATCAAATATGTTAGAATTATAAATCATCCAATAAGAATAAAAATAAAGAAAAAATGATGAGTAGAATTTTTCTGGTGGGTTACTGTGTTTGTCTTCTAAAGGAAAATATGCTTTAAAATATATTTTATCTTCTAAATATATATTTAAGCTAGTTTTTTGGCATAAAATAGGGTATAATTCCAGATAAAATGCGAATTTTAAATACTTTCATCTGTTTTAATTATGAAGTATTGGACTATAAGTATTGCACAATTTCATTACCACTTGATGTTGCCCACACTTTATGAATTTTTGTGTTCTATGGTTTTTATTTTAAACTTTACTGCAGTCAAGAGTGCAACAAAACTGCTTCATAATTACTGATGCTTTTTAACTATCTTTACTAAAAAATAAGTTGAAAAAAATGCTTGATACTATCTGATGTTCAAAACACTATGTCTGTTAACAATTTACAGAAATTTTACAGTCAATTCAGGGAATAGTTTTCATCATTTCAGATATATTTTAGATACAATTAATTTATATATATTACACTTTGCAAATAATCATGTTTTAAGGTCTTCAAAATATGAAAAACCTGCTGTAAACGAGGAAAAATATCAACATGACAAATTGATTTACAAAGTAAGAATAGGTTATTGTGTGTTATAATTTTTAAAACAATGTTAAATAAAATACATATCAGATGTCAGGAGTGCAACACAATAATGTAACATAGGGTCACTTCAAAATCTAGTATTTTTCGTAAGAGAACTCGTATATAACAATTCTTTTTTGGCTTAGATTTAAAGAATTGATTTGAATGGACAAAAAAGTGAATTTTGGGGAATTTTATTGCTTCATATTTTTTTCTTGTTAAAACTTTTCAAACCAGAATCGAAAGAAAAATGTAAAATAACAATCAAAAAGTCACTTTTTTGTCACATGTACAAGAGAAGATACGCATTCAAGGTCTAGATTTAATAATTTATACCCCTTTTACCACTTTGAAGCATAAAAAACTATAATTTCTTGTGATTATGTATTTTAGAAAGTCTTTTAAGGTGTAATGATATTTTCTTTTTTCAAAAGAAATTTTACTAATAAAAATTCTGAAACTTTTTAATCCAATTGTCTATTCTATTGCCACTTCAG